TCTGCTGCTCAGAATGGCTTACTTAACTCTAATACCACCCAAATTCTAACAAAAACAGAGAAAGAGGCTGGAAAATGGCTACTTTGCGATTTTTTGTCCAACGGAGTAGGGTTACGGTATATGGGAAACCGGGGCGGAGAGAGCCTTTGTCGGGCGGCCAATCAAATAAAAAACTCTGGGGTTTTATTGGGCGCAGTGAGAGAGCGAGAGAGAACGTGAGAGCGTGAGAGACAGCGAGAGCCAGAGATGGTGAGAGAGACAAAGAGAGCGAGCGCGAAGGTGAGAGAGAGAGAGAGAGAGCGAGAGAGAGAGCGAGAGAGAGAGAGAGGGAGGGAGAGAGAAAGAGAGGGGGGGAGCGAAAGAGAGAGCGAGTGAGGGTGAGAGAGAGGGAGTGCGAGTGAGGGTAGGGAGAGGGAGAGAGAAAGAGAGTCAGAGCGAGCGAGAGAGAGAGAGCGAAAGAGAACCAAAAATAGGGAAAATGGGCTAGCGGGAAAGAGAATTCAAGAGAGGATGAAAAACATGGGACGATCCAGCACTGGACCTAAATGCTAACAAATTTGGTCGTACAGTATTAATTTCGGCATCGATCAATTCTCATGAAATTTTTTGTGCGTTCTTTATAGGTTTTCGAAAGTCTGACAAAAAAAAGCTCTTCGCCACAAACAGCTTTTGGCTACTTAAAATTCGTAGAATCGTAGAAATCCGCGAATTCTCCAGAACGCTAGCGGGGTGTTTTTGGCACACAGTAAACAAATCAACAACAACGAGCTGACGAACGAATTTAGAGGCAAGTCAGCGTTTTTACAAATCGATTTATGATGGTGGGGGTAGGTGGGATGGCTCAAAAACAGAGGCAAGGGGGTCTGATCGAGCACGAGCCCCGAAGCTGGCGGCGCGAAGAGGAGCGCGGGATGTATCGATTTGGCACTGTGGACCCCCCGAAAACTCAACGCCCACCCCAGACATTGCGGTGACTAATCAAATCTGGGAATTTCAAGGAAATGTTTAATGGCTGTCAAAGACAGCTAGCTAAATATAGGTTCTTCAGGAATTAAATAGAATACCAACTTTCGACATTACTGCTGTATATTTATAATACTACTGTATTATTGTATAGCATCGTAGATCTTGAGAAACACAGAATACGGCTGCGCCACCATAAAATCCTAGTTTTGCACTTTAGAGATGGGAAGGCAAGGGCTACGGTATATCGGGGGGTGAGGGGCGGAGAGACGCTTTGTCCGGGCGGTCCAATGAAAAGAGGCGAGGTCCGGTTCGATGGCGGATGCCGAAAAATATGGAGACAATAGGCGCAAGGATTGAAAAGACAAATGGATAGAGAGAGAAAGACAGGAGAGAGAGACAGTGGGAAAGAGAGCGAGAGAGGGAGAGTGAGATAGAGAGCGATCGAGAGAAGAGAAAGAGAGATAGAGAGAGAGAGAGAGAGAGAGAGAGAGAGAGAGAGTGAGAGAATAGAAACTGAAAACTTACTTGTAATAGGAAATCAACATAAAATCTACATAACAAGCAAGCGCAAGAGTATTTGGGAAAAAAACTGTAGTCTGACTGAGCACGAGCTCGAAGCGGCGGCGCGACGACATTTATTGATTTGGCACTGTGGACCCACCACCGTGGGAAAATCGCCCCATCCAGAAAGAAAGAGAAAGAGAGATAGAGTGCGAGATAGAGAGAGAGAGAGAGAGAGAGAGAGAAAGAGAGAGAGAGAGAGAGAGAAGCGAAATGAAAGAAAGAGAGATTGAGTTAGTGGGTTAGAGGGAGAGAACGCGTGAGAGACTGAGCGAGACACATCACACGTGAAAATTAAATTAACAGCAGCCAAAACAGGGGTTTAAAAAACAATATTAGAAAAGCAAGAAAGGTAACAGTTTTGGCTGGAGTATCACTTTGCCCCTCGTTCACCCCAAGACGATCGGTCTGATCTGGTAAGCGAAGTGGAAATTCGGCGATGCGTTGCGCAACCTTCCCACTAGCAGATTTCACACCTAATCCGGCCCCCTAAACCCCACCTACCCGGTCGTTGACATCTGGCCAACGTTGCTGGCGATCCTAAGTCCGCATCACAGTACTGATCTTCTCCTCCCCGATACCCGTTTTGATCATGATGGAAATCACTTATGTAGGTCAAATTAGTTACGTTGTGCTATAACAAATGCAATACGTTTCAAAACGCAGCTTAACCGCTGCGACGTTTTTGTTTGAAAATTTTGCCTTTGATTAGTCATCGCGCCCAATGCCTTTCCTTGAAAATGAGGGTATGGCCGAGGACGATCGCCCACAGGGTCCACAGTACCAATCAATACATCCCCCGCCCCTCATCTCGCTCCCCGGCTTCTGTCCTCGTGCTCACTTACAAGGAATCATTTCGGTTTTGGTTTTACATTTGGATAGTTAATTTCAAGTACTAATTTTCTCTCTCTCTCGCTCTCTCTCTCTCTCTCTCTTTCTCTCTCTCTCTCTCCCTTACTCGCTCCTCTTTCTCAAATCTTTCTCGTCCTCAAGTGGCGCTCTTTTACAAGGTGCCCTGAAATTTTCCAAGCAGGTTTAATATTTTTAATGAACTCAACTTTCTAATTTTTTGAAATGACGGTTCTTTGATTTTTGTTTTCTAGACAAGGTACATTCACATAATAGTCGGCATTACACAGTCCTTATGTCAAATTCAAATACCGAATTACCGTTGATTTGGCCACCCGATAAATTTTTTCGAATTGCCTTTAAGAGGCGAAAAAAAGGCCAAAGGCCTTTATGTTTTACGCTTGTACTGCGTTCCTTAGTGGTTGTGAGCCGTTTAAAATGCGAAAAATCGTACGGTATCGTACGGAAGCCGCTCTAAAGATACATAAATTTGTATTTTTTTAGTGGTTTTGTCTTCTCGGTCTCTATTGCTCGCTACTCTCTCACTCTTTCGCCCTCTCGGTTCTCTCTCCCTCTCTCACTCTTTCTTTAAAATACACACTCTTTTTCCCCTCCCTAACACGGTCCCTCTCATTCCCTCGCTCTCGCTTTTGAGTCCTTTGCATGTTTTGATCGTAATGAGTTGCCTACCGTTTTAATAAATTCAATATTTACTTAGCTTGCCAAGAACAAGACCGAGCAAGATGCCGTATGAATACGAGCCGAGGGAGCGTGACTACGCGGCGGAAAGGTGAATTGCGATTAACGACTGGGTACTAGAAACGCTTTAGGAGGGCCTGGGAAGCACGCATGGAAGCCGAGGAGGCCAACCTGGCCAGAATGCAGGCGGTGCTGCTCACAGGAGCAGGAACCGAGGCCCGGCAGCAGAAAAAAAGAGAGTAGGTCTCAGGAACGATGCTTGCACTGAGATTTAGAGAAAAAAAGCGGATCGCGGCCTCGAGTGCGGCCTGGCAGGCCGCGTACGAGGCCGGAGAAATCGTCGCCAGGAGCCTCACTGATCCGCCGGACGAGCCACGACCAAAAATGTTTGCGGGTGAGATATTTGACGGGTTTTTAGGTTTTCTGGTTATTCCAGGGTTTTTTTGGGGGGAGGGGGACCGACTATTGGGACCTATCTAACTATTTTTCCTTTCTTTTTGCTACCAACGAAATCCTTCCTATATTTTTCGACGCTTTATCGAATTGCATTAAAGAACTTTTCAAAAAATATCGATGGCAACATGTTTTAGGTTTGTTTTTATCATAGTTATTTTTAATAACATTATTTTGAATTAATATTAATACTCCTAGCTTATTTTTGGATGCTTTATCGAATAGCCTCCTTAAATGTCGAAAAAATACCACGAATGTCGAAAAGCAGCCGCTCAACCCGATTTTCAAAGGTTATTTTTGTTTTTTCCGTAATTTTTATATGACTGTAGTTTGAGCTAAATCAAAAGCTCTTAGCTTAGTATTTTTCTCGATGTTTTAAATCACCGAGATCCCGAGAAAATAACGAAAATAGCGAAAAAGGCATTTCTGTTCTGTCCCCCGGCGTACTATCAAAATACGTTGTGTTTTATTACCATGTGAAGGGGAAGAAGTAAGAATTAGCTAGCGAAAAAACTGCCGGGTTTCAGTTTCAAAATTTTGTCCTTTGCTTTTTATTACTCGTTTCACGAAAAACCTCCGATTTTCGGCGTCAAAATCGCAATTCCCTAGTTGCTGCGCGTAAATCAGTACGCAGTATTTTTATCGGCTTTCGGCATCAAATACAGAATTGAAGCGCTTAACCTAGAAAACAAAAACGCGTCTCATTTTTGCCCCTGTCAAAACAAATCGATAGCTAAAGCCTTAGACTCGTACCCGTCCTTCTTCCCCTCTAGGGGTTCAGAACATACAGGCGCACGCAACTGGTAGAATAAAGAAATTTCGATTTTTTTGGCATTAGGCAAATTAGCCCTTCCCCGAAAATGGATAAAACCGGTTCTGGCTCTGTAAACTTGTATTAGGTTGGAACTAAAGCCCGCACAATATTTTTCTTTCTTTGTAATTTTCGGATCGGAAAACGGGCAAGAACCAAAATGTTTTTTGGATGAACGGATATGCAATAAAATTCTCTATTCGATGTGTGGGAGGGATTCGCGTTGCTTCCCTATTAGAATTTTTTAAAGCTAGATTTAGGCGAAAATGAAAAATCGCTTCGGCCCGCCTTTACAAAACAAAACTGGCTTCCTTTTTAGGCTAATTCGGCATGCAGCTGATAGATATAACCTATTATTATAATGATGATCAGTTCCTATGGTGACTTTATGGCGGTTCGGAAAGATGTCCGGGTCAAAAATTTGAAGTGCCCTCGAGAGAAACGCAAAAATCTTAAAAACTACTGGGGCTAAAAACCTGTAATTTTGATCCCACATACTCATGAACCCAATAGATATATGCAAAGAGGGAACATCGGAATCTGGCCACTAAATTTTCAGAAGGAAATTTCCAAAGTTCGATTGCACGAACTTATGTTCCAACCTAATAGTTTATCGCAATTCCGAGAAGACCATCTGAAAGAGGAAGGTCGATTCCGAATTATGCGACGAACAACAACAACTAAAAAACAATCGTTTAGCTCAAGTCGCCGAGCTGCGCAAAGCCCACGAGGAGAGGCTGGCCCGTGGGCAGCCGATTGGCACGCGAAGGGTAGAGGAGCCGAGGTTAGTATTTTCAAGAGATTCTGCGTCAGGGTGCAACTTGCATTCCGAACTGATGCTTGTACGGCGGGTTAGAGGGTGGTTTCTATTGGGACGAGCGAGAGAGAGAGAGAGAGAGAGAGAGAGAGAGAGAGAGAGAGAGAGAGAGAGAGAGAGAGAGAGAGAGAGAGAGAGAGAGAGAGAGAGAGAGGAAGAGAGGAAGAGAGGAAGAGAGACGGAGGGCGAGTGAGAAAGAATCTCGGAGAGTGAGGGAGAGAGAATTTTTCAAAATTTCAATTCCTTGTTCCAGGGGGTGCGCCTCGACTCTGTGCGTCGTCCTCCTCTGCCTGCTCTGCCCGGTACGCAAACTAATTTTTTGCGACCTTTTTAAAAACAACATTGCAAACAGGTTTTTGTAAACGCACAATTTTTAGCCGCTCGCCGTCTACAACGACGTCGGCGAGAGGTGCGGCTGGCGCATGGCCCTCTGCCTGCTCCTCTGCGGGCTGGGCTGGATCCCGGGCTTCATCTATGCGGCCTGGTAAGTTGTTTATAACAAATTTTTGCAAAATTAACCAATACTATCAATCAAGAAGTCTTCAAATTATTTTTAGCTTTCTAAAAAATAGTTTTCCCAAATTTCTAAAATCTAGCAGTCAATAAACACCTCGAAATTCGCAAGTTGAACTCAAATATTGACTTTCAGGGTCCACTTCAGCGGCGTGGGGGAGCAGGAGGAGGACGCCGAGGAAGACGTCGAGCTGCAGATGGAATAAAAATGATGCTGATGGATGGAGGAATAAAAATGCGATGAATTTGGATCGTTTTTTCCTCAAAATCAGAGCCAGGTGTCGAAAAACATTCAAACTATAGACAGCTGCTTATGGCCTAACACATTATTCGACAGATATATTTTATCTATGATCTCTCAAAAGCAAAAATAGGAATTTGTAGATCTCGTCCCATCCCTGTGGCCTATCACCGGGTCTCCGACTTTGTTAGGGATCAATTAGCCTATACCGCTTTTATATACTGCTTGTTTTTAAAGGCCACCAGAGTCAAGTGACGGAAAATCACCGGTTTTATTGAACCCTACTAAACTAAACGTATTTAAAGTGCAAATTCGGTTGATTCATTTATTCTTATAGCTAGACAAGGGATATACGGAGACAGAGAGAGAGAGTGAGAGAGAGAGAGGGTGATAATGAAAGTGAGAGAGAGAGGGGAGGGAGAGAGGGATTGAGATAGTTAGTGTGAGAGAGGGATGGAGAGAGTTAGTCAGCGAAAGAGAAAGAGAGAGAGAGGGAGAGAGTAGAAGGAGAAAGATGAGAGAGAGAGAGAGCGTGGGAGACAGACACTGAGAAATAGAGAGAGCGAGAGAGTGATAGAGACAGTGACCGATTCATCCAGTCGTAGACAGCTCCAGCTCATGACAGTGCTTCGGTCTTCTAGAAAAACTTTTGAAGAGAATAAGGTAAAACTTACGGATACCGAGGATCTTAGCGTACGGCTGCGGAACATCCGGTAAATGTTGCCACAGGGCAAGGGCGTTTCGTTGAGAAAAATGATAGTGATGAAGCTAAACCAAGAGAAATTCAACTGCTATGCGTTCGTAACACACCCCGAAATAGCGTTCCCCCAGGCTGGCAGGCAAGTGGTGACGATCGTGAGGAACCAGCTAGTTTGCATCAACTCGAAGTTGTTCGTCTCTGCGGCGCCTTGGGGTTCCTGGAAAACACAGAGTACCCGCTTTATTTAAGGCTTCAGGATTTGGGACTGATAGATTCCGGAACAGTAAATTCCCCAGGTGATTTTGTGATGGCGGCAAAACGTAACGCCAAGCACTAGTGTCGGACAGCACCCCAAGAAACGCACCCCGGGTGCAACCCGCAGCATAAGCGATTTTGATTCCATGACCCAAACATCCCTCGTCGTGCCTTTCCGGTCCCTTTAAACCCACCCAATCCTCGGCGTACATGCCGTAGTCGCCTTCTATCAGGTCGGTCTGCCCTATGAACAGGAAGGCGATGTAGAAATTGACGGCAGTCACAGCCAAGGAATACGTGTGGTTCACGAGCATCTAAAAATCGGGAAGCGGAAGTTTTTTGGGAATCCGGCATGTCGCGGGTCCCCTCAATTCGAAGCGCGATACCTGTTTCGCTAGCCTGTGATCGGCCCGGCGCTTGCTGGAGCCATGGCTTGACGTAGCCAAGTTTTTCTTCTGCAATTTGTGATGTGAACATCAGAAAAACTATCACTATCCTATCCTATAAGCGAGAAAAGTATGTGTGTTTTCTGTACGGGCGGTTTCTCGGCCGTCAGGCTGAATTTCCGGCTGATTTTTGGCATGGAGGTGGAGAAACACATTCGCCAAAAACGGTTTTTTGGATTTTTCGAAATTCCTTAATCTAACGATTTTACAAGCGAAAATGTAAAAATCCTTAACAAATTGGGTTACGAACCGCGTTGTACAGGTCTTAACTCGAAGCCCCGGTGGAATTTCTGTCTGTAATTTGGACCACTGATGTATTCGATAGTGGGAATCACGCGCATCTAATTATCTTGACAATTTTCTGCTTATTTAGACTCAAAAATGGAATTTTGTAGTGACCAGAAAGCCTTCCTTCTGGGATCATTGGGCCGTCCTTTTCTTTGCCCCTAGGCCCGCCCCAGGACAGAAGAGGGCTTTCCCGCCTCACGATCCCAGCTGCTCCGTGGTGTATTGGGTTAGCGCCAGGGCTACGACGTCCAAGGTCGTGAGTTCGGATCCTGCCCGAACTTAGCTTTTTGCTTTTTGGTAGTTCAGCAACAAAACAAATTTCTAGGCTCCCGGTGTGCGAGGTTTAGGCCTGCCCTCGCTTTAGCGCCGCAGGCCAAAGGAAAAGTCCTTCCCCCGGGCTCTCGCGCCGCAGGCCAAGGATGGGTCCAGGATCCGGGCTCTAGCGCCGCAGGCCAGATACTGGAGAAGGACCAGTAAATAGCGCCGCAGGCACAAAAGTTCTAGCGCAACGCTGGCTCTGGCGCCGCAGGCTAAAAAAAGAAGGTATTGGAATTCATGGTTCCTGGACGGGGTCCAGTGGAAAAGGGCCGCGAAGCGGTCTTTTTCCACTGGTGTTATTGATAAACTCACCAGATGCCGTCGGATCAACAAGAAAGTGGCGATATCGGAAAACAACGCTCCCAATGTGAGGCAATTGGCCACCATTCGCAGCTTCATCATCATATCCTGCGCATAATCGGGCCCAAATTCTGATGTGACGAGAGCGTAGCTGTGCGCTTCGTAGAAGACGCACACCTCCGCTGGAAAAACGAATAATTCCTTGTGGCTCTAGGCTGCGCTAATCATATTTGAGAGCCAGGTTCCTGTCCAAAAACATTCAAAATTATCAACTTGTCATAAAATAAATGGCGGCCACTGGAATTGTCCAGACAGACAGAAGCTGATGCAGCTTGGTGTTTTCCACCATCTCAGAATATCGCCCTGAAATAAAATAATATACATAAATACCTCCCGTTCAATTTCTAACTCTCACTCTCTCCCACTCTCCTTCTCCGTCTCTCGCTCTCTCCAACTCGCTACCTCACTCTCCCTCTCGCCTGTATCTTTCTCGTCCTAATCCCGTACCCTGTCTCTTTATCTCTGCCTCCCTCTCCCTCTCACGTCCCTGTCTCCCTTCCCATTGTGTCTCTATCGCCCTCCTCTCTCTCACACACTCTCTCTCCCTCTCTCTCTCTCTGTCTCTATATCGCCCTAACGCTCTATCTCTTTTCCTCTCTGTAGAATTCTCCCTCTCACTGTCTCTCGTTACCTTCAAAAGCCAGTGCTGCCAACCGATTGATCGATACGCCAAGCTGTACGATTTCGATAGCATGTTGAGTAAAGAGGAAGATTATACCTAATGGGTCTAGATACTACGCTACCATGTGCCTCTTACCAAGCGACAAATTCAGCTGCCCGCCAAACCGAACATACGCCTCGCATATACTACGATGCTTTCGAGGAATGTAATAGCCATATGGTTCCTGATCGCTCACGTGGGTATACCTGGAAGTTAAAGCTAACATGAAGGATGGAATTAGATCGTTCAGCCACGTTACGTATCTCTCTCTCTCCCTCTCTCTCTCTCTCCCTCTCTCTCTATCGTTCGCTCTCGTTCTCTTTATACCCGCTTGCAGCGACACGAAGCGCATCCAATGTGTGTGCAGCAAAATGTTTTGTATAAAAGTCATCAAACTGCGTCTTAACACACTCACGCATCCGGTTCCGCATTCGTCCTTATGAACGTGCAAGCGCCTGGGTAGAATAAGATAATTGACTGGCCAATTCGAGCCAAATGTTCCATGCAAAGACAGGTGGCCACCAGGAAGGAGAGGTGCTGATTCCGCTTCACCACTATCAACGCGCCAATGTTAGACAGGATCGAGATGAAGCCAAACTTAAAAAATGGGCCTTAATGGGCGCTTGGATGGCTAGAAAACTGGGTCGTTGGGTAGACCGGAGTTTGATGACTACCAAGTGGCAAGGAATCTCGAGTCAACTCACCACAAATACCGAATAGAAGACGAACCAATCTCGAAATACCATGTCCTCGAAGTACACGTATTTTATCGTTTTTGCTTTTGCCATTTGATCTGGAACACAAAACAAGTATTGACGGAGGATGTAGCTGACTTAATTACTTTTCTTAACAGAAAAACATTCATTTGCAAACCCGAATTGCAAACCGAAAAGCTATCAATTCTTCATTTCCGCGGCGGCATGGCCTCCCCCTAGGAACAATTGAATTTTACGGGCGTTGCGCGCAAGCAAAAGTTACCCTCCTTTTTGATTGGATTGTAGTGGAGCTATTTAGCGGAACAGGTTGGCCAAAAATTTAGACAAAAGGTAGGAAATCAATTCGTTTTAAACACTTCAAAATCAGCAATTTTTTCAAAACTTCGCCCATCCTCCAAATTTTGAGAAATCCACTACTTTTGAGAACTTGTTAAAAGCTGTTATTAATCGCTTTTCACAATTTATAAATTTGAATTAGCGCGCATGATTTTCGGCCAGTTGCAATTGCGCCTTATACCTTAAAGAATTGTACATTTATTTCCGGAATTGAGGCCTAATGGGCGAGGGAGTGGGTTCCAGAAATGCTCATCAAAGATTACACGTCTTCTGCCAAGTCGACACCTGGCTGGCGTAGAAAGCGCTGGTTCAGAAGCCGTTACTCGCCCAGGTTGGGCAGCTGGAAAAGGTAGAAAATTTGCACTTTAGAATGAGCCTTACTTCGCACTGCTGTCGCTGCATCCGGTGACAACACCACCGCCGCCGCCACCTCCAGCGCAGGCCGGCTGCAGGTTGCACGACTTGGCACAGTGCTGTCCCTTTTGCTCGGTCGTGTAGAAGGTGGTGTTGGTTCAGAAGATATTTTTCACCCAGGTGGCGCAGCTGGAAAATGGCAGTTTTCAAATGCTCACGTACGAAAGGGAGTTTCGTCTTTTTTCTTAGCTACTTCACCGGGAGCGCGACTTTTAATATTATTGAAAACAAAATTTAATTTCAATAGGTAAGAGGAATTTCAAGCAAATGTGTAATGGCGGTGCAAGTTAGCTGAAACATAGGCCGCATATGTTTTTCCAAACCAGAATTGAGTAGAATAACAAATATAACAGTTAGTTTTCGACATTGCTACTGTATATCTAAACTATGTCTTTATTCCTGTTAAATTAATAGTATTAATTTCGCAAAGGAACCCCTTTAAAGACAACAGCAAGATGTATTTGAAAC